AAACTTTCTAGTTTGATATTTTTCACATCAAAGTCTGATAGATTTATGCACAAAACAAACACTTTATTCACTTTTCTATCACTAGATTTTGGTAACACATGAAAGACATTTTAAATTGCTTTCATTGTGCAATCAAATGAACTTTAATGAACCACTTTCTATTGTGTCAAACAATATTATGCATTTTATATATTCACATGTTTTTAAATCACTCAACTACATATATATTTACAAGAAATAATAACATTGATGTATCATGTCTATTACACCAAATGTATAAGGTAGAAATGAACTTTTGTTTTGTTCATCTTGTATATATTTTCTGGAAAGTAATCATAATAAGAGCCTGAGCTTTAATTGCAGCTTTTAAGATTTTCTGTTTTTACATTTTACCCAATATTACCAATTTCAGACATAATTAATTACACTAAGTACAAAAAGTAACATGATGAATATACAAACAAGAATGACTGTATTGGAATGGTAGGTATATTTTCAAAGTTCCTAGCAATATACATACAAGTAACTTTCAGAAAGACAGAAACAAAACGAAATATACGACATATGCTCTACAATGCATCAATGATATATACATGTATAAACAAAAACAAAACATACACTATGAACATGATGGACAAAGAAAGAGGACAAAATATACAGTTCCTCATTCTACCCTCAACAATTGCTGTGGTAGACAAAGGAACATCCCTTCACTCCTTTATGTAAAAATGTGTAGAACAGGTGATACATGCATATTCACCAGTTCTGCACATTTTTATATAATAGCAGTGAAGGGATGTTCTTTTGTCTACCACAGCACTTGTTGAAGGTAGAATGAGGAACTGTATATTTGGCCCTCTTTCATTGTCCGTCATGTTCATAGTGATACACTGTACAGGAAGACATCAGCGAAAATCAATTTCAATCCACTTATATGAACAGAGCAACCAGCAGGTCTGAATAATTCATGATCATTTTGCAAACATTATACTCCACTTTGCACTTCATAGATTGATCTTGAACGAAATATTAAAAGGCAATCAATCACTTGTCTCACCACAAACATACGTGGCCAATTTTGTTCTGGCAAACACCTACAGATACTAGGAAGACTATGAATATTCAAGAAGCAATTACATTATAAACAGAATCAAACCTTTTCCCCTCAATTTGATAAAATTGAAATGAAAATGACATTTCAAATGTGGCTCGAATGCATAATGACTTCAAGGTTGACTGACTATGGACTATGCCAAGTGCTATTAGCTTAAAGATAAAGACCAGTTATGGTCATGCGATTGCATTGTGAAAGAAATGTTGTGGAATCGATCAGAAAGGTTGAGTTGAGCATCTAGCATATATTGGTGTGTACTGCAAGGTTCTGGAATCATCAAAAATAAGAAATTTGGCCAAGTCTTCGTAAAGTTACAAGCACACAGAAGGATGTAAATGGGACTACGCACACGTGCGTGACACATGCCTTTATCTCTCACATACCAATAGATAAACTAATTTACCAAATATATCAATTAGTAGGCAGTTTCCCAGCAAATTTTTTATCATCATGTATTAGTCAAAACATATTCTTTCACATGATTGGCAATAAGAGCTTCCATTTCATTTTTTTAAATTGGGGCGTTTCCTATACTGGTCTTTACCTTTAATGCTAGTGAATTATTGAGCGTGCTTTATATGCGATGATTCAGCCACATCATGCATGACAATAACAACTTGTTTGATGACACGATCATTTGACAACTAATGGTATTGCTTTCGGTCAACCAATTATAAACGCCAAATAGGCGTTTTATAACTAGCACTTTTCAAATGAAAATTTAGTCTGGCTAACACCTTCAGACACTAGGAAGACTATGAATATTCAATTAGCAATTACGTTAACAGAATCAAACCTTTTCCCTCAATTTTTATAAAATTGAATTGAAAATGACATCTAAAATGTGGCTCAAATGCATGATATCACACGGTTGAGTGACTGTGCCAAGTGCTATTAGCTTGATGCTAATGAATTATTGAACATGCTGTCGTGCTTTATGCGTTTATTACGCCAAATAGGTGTTTTATAACTAGCAGCTAGCTTGCAAATGTAAATTATTTTTTACATTTAGCTGCATCACATCTCAAACACTTTTCCCCACAGCAGTGCCATTAAAGATAAACTCCAGTTCTGGTAAAAAAAAAGAAAATTAATTCTCACAGAATCAAACGAAACTTACACTGAATGTTCAAGATTACAATTAAATGACATGTGCCAAACAAATTTTGGAAGAAAATGTATACTGCCTGAGTAATGAGCATAGAAAGATGAGGAAATCAAGGTAGTACTCGCCCCGACACCATGTGTGTTGTCCCATATATAGCTTTCTGTGTACAGTGCTTGTTACTTTACCAAGACTCGGCCAAATTTATTATGATTTTGATGACTAAAGAAAACCTTGCAGTGCACACCAATACTTACATGCTACATGATCAACTGTTTCTGATCCATTCCACACCTTTTCTTTCACAATGCAATCGCATTACCAGAACTCACCTTTATCTTTAAGTACATGTATGAAGTTTGAACTGCCCAATTTCGATATATCTTTTTCGTTGAAAATCAAAACAGATTCAGGATTGTGCAGTTCATAGCCATTGGATCATGCATGTAGCAATATATGATATCAAATTGACACAATATTGGAAACCTTAACTACAAAATCACTTTTGTGATTAAATTTGCCTACTTAGGCAGAAAAAAAAGAAGTTCAGATCAACCTTTGAAATATCAATATTTTAATACAGTACACTTCAACTACCTGGCCCCCTGCTGTGCCAGAAAATTTAAACGAAATGAACAATAAAATCGATCAGCAATCGAACACAGGTCCATAAAACGGTCTAATTTCAGTCTTATTCATTTTTATAGGACAATTTTCAGATCAAAGTTATTTTCTCACTATTTATCTTGATATAAACAATATTTTGTTAATAAAATAGTTTATAATTTCAAAATGTAAGACAAGCTATTTAACTTAGAAAAATAGCCAAGTTCATGTATATGTCAAGATTCGAGAGTCAACATCTAAATAAGGGTTGTTTACTTAACAAAACCTGTGGAAGGGGTCAAGGCTAATTCATATTCCGTGTACAGATCTGTGTATTGAGCCATTGTCTTCTATTCATGCGAATCTATTGAGAAAATTTGAGCTTGATCCAGAACTACTATAGCAAATCGAATTGCATTGTTGTCATAAAAGGCTAGAGTTGAAAAGTACTGAAGTCAATTTCATCGGAAAAATCACCCCAACCACCTAGAAATTGCAACAACGGGTTTTTCAACAGTTTCTAGTATTGTTTGACAATAGAAACAATTAACATACCAAATATTTAAGAAAATAGCGGGACATGCGTAAAGGGATTATTTTCAAAATGGAAATCCTAGATCCTAAAAATGAGCAGAAGTGATAGACACCAAAATCACATCTAGATCTATTAAAGATGTATACAAAACTGATGTATATCATGACTTACACATGTATGGCTATTCCAATGTATTGGCAGCCAACTCGGAGCAAGAGTACAATAATATGGGTATAGATGGAAGATAACTGTGTATACTAATATCCTTGAAGGTTGTTTCTGTGACACGTACCACTTACCTATCAGAACCTTTGTTCATTAGGGCACTTAAACATATATGAGAACTGAAACATCTAGTATAATAAATGCAAATGAGTTTTCTCTGTACTGGTGTCATATTTCTACATGTACTTCTAGAACAGAAACCCTGCCCTGAAATTACCAGATTAATACCAGTATTTTTGTAGCATGCACTACAGAAAAAACAGAAAGTAAAAAAGGAAAAAACCCTCACTTCTTTCTTCCAAAAGGGCAACTTTGGAAAAAAATTGTTTGAAATTACATCAATGATCCAACTTTCAGTTTCACATGTAATTATGAATGGATGACTTCCTGCAAAAGTAGTGTCATATTTGTGAATATTTGTGTGGTACTGATAGAAAATAAAGAGACAGAATTTTTGTTAAAGGGGAAGGGGACCACTTTGCCAATCAGGAACCTTTGGCAAAATTAGTTCCAAACCATTGAACCAAGTTTCAATTTCCAATAATGTTGTATACATGGCTTTCAGTCCAATACAGTGTGATAGTTTTGTCTTAGTTTGCGATTAGTATTATTTGCACTACATGTACTTACATTGTAGATGAATATTAGGACAAAGCACCGTTTTATAGATTGGAGAGAAGAGACAATATTAGAAGGGAAGAACACTGAAAGAGAGAGAGAGAGAGAGGGGGAGAGGGAGGGGAAGCGAGAGAGGGAGAGAGAGGGAGAGAGAGGGAGAGAGAGAGAGAGAGAGAGAGAGGGAGACAGGAGGGGGATGTTGCCTAAAGATAAAAAAACACTTTGATAACCTTTATAACATACAAGGAAATACCAGTGCATCGTCAGATTCCACTGCTTCCTTGTCCAACCAACAAAATAGGAAAGCATATTAACTACATACATGTACATGTACATGGTCATTTTCATATCCTGGCTGATATTTCCTACAAATTTCTCCTCACAGACCTGGGGGTGCTTCACAAAGATCCTAAGTCAAAATTAATTCTAGGTTGGACATAAATATTATGGAGAGCAATTTTTAGCCTTAAAACAAAAAAAATATTTGAAGCGAAAATTCAATTATTTTAGAGTTTTTAAAAATTCCTCATCAAGAATATGAAATCTCCTTGATAATAGAAAAAATATAAATGATTTGAATCAACATTTTAGGCCTTTTAACATAAATTTTACAAAATATTGTCATAGATGCTAACGGCTTTCCATAATTGTTCAGTCCAACCAGATAAAGTTAAACTAGGGATCTTTGTGAAACACCCCCTGATCGAAATATGTTGGCTCACTACTAAAACTACTTAAGATCAGCTCAGCTGCAAGGGGGGGGGGGGGGGGGGGGGGGGGAAGGGGGAGGGGGAAGGGGGAGGGGGTGGGGTATGGTACATAAACATATTGGCTGAATTCTGACACATCCATAATGCAATTTGTAACAATATCTAGGTACCATCAAAGAAATCATCGCAGAAAAATTCAGTCGCAATGGAACCAAATTAAGTAATATGAATTTTTAATTGATGAAAATGTAACTATTCCCATTAAAATTGGCAGCCTTTTTGTTTATTTAATGCAGCATATTGAAGTAGGAAGTATATTCACCACAGGAGCTCAAGTGGCACTTGAAAAACGTAAACATTTTTATATTAAGATAGAATAAGGAAATTATCCAAAGCCACATATTCAATTATGAAAGTATCTTTAGAACAAGTATCTTTTGGACACATAATATAATTACTTTGGCATAATAAACATATTACAACACATAGCATGTACAGGGTAGGTATAAACCATTTCATTGTTTAGAGAACACATATCTTCAGGAAAATGAGGTTTGTACAAAAACATGGTAAAAGTGTAAAACACACAAAAATTGATAGAACTTACACTGACAAAACAGAGAATATTTACCACATTCTGGCAGCTCTTTGGATTGACTTCAGAAAAAGATTATCTTTGTTGTAGCTTCCTGAATTCAAGGGCGTCCATTGCCACCTTTGAATCGCTTACTTGGACATCACTTGGTGAAGGTCGCTTGGTGAAGGTCACTTGCTGAAGGTCACTTGGTGAAGGTCACATCAGGTCACTTATAATTGACTTGCATTATCAGTGTCCAAGGGTTCATCGCTGACTTTCAGACACTGAAGATTTAATTTACCTTTAGTTCTCCAGTCAGTGGACATGCAGCAGTCAGAATGGCCAGTTGTTGCGAGGTTTTTTCTTGATACGGACAATTCTTGGACCTTTGTTCTCTGTCTCTGTGTCATGAAAGTAAGCAGAAGAATGCCAGCTGTCCCAAGGTTAATTTTCACCGTAAAAGATCATGATACCTTTGTTTTAACTCAATATACCAACTACAGTCAAACCTGCTTTAGTGACCACCTGTCTACAAGGAGTCAAGGACCACCTGTCTACAAAGACCACATTTTTTGTTTCCCTTGAAAATGGATTCTCCTTTAAACATGTACTAAAAGAACCTGTCTTCAAAGACCACCTACGGGTCTACAAAGACCCCTTTTTGTGTTTCCCTTAGTCGGTCACGATAGACGGGTTTGACTGTATAAGACGGCACTGCACACAAGAACACTTATCCTGAAGTAGATATTTTGTTCTAAAGCTATTGCCTATGCAACAGTTCTGTCACATGGCTGTGTAACAGATGAAGGAGATTCTAGAATCTTTATTCTCATGTTTCTGCATACACAACTGTCAGGAAACAGAAAGGTGTCCGGGGGGGGGGGGGGGGGGGGGGGGGAGTGTTTCACAAAGATCCTAAGTTGAACTTATCTCTAAGTTGGACTTAACAATTATGGAAAGCCATTAGCATCTTTGTAAATGTTTTTAAAAGGCATAAAGTGAATGTTGAAATAAACAAGGTTTTTGATTGGTTTACAGTTAATGGCTTACAAGCTAATTTAGATAATACAAATTGTATTCCCTTTACTACCCCGAACCCAAAATTTGACAGTGTGCTATTAATTTAAAAGTTGTTAATGTCCAAAATAATCTGACTCAGATAAAGCATGAGAAATTTGTAGGTCTTACAATTGATGAAAAGTTCACATGGTCAAACCACATTGATAATTCATGTTCAAAGATTGCTTGAATCATTGGTGTAATAAGCAAACTTAAGTTTGTTTTACCCTCCCATATTTTGTTTATTATTTATGATTCAATGCCTTTACCACATTAATCATATGGTGATACATGTATGTTGGGGGCCAATTGCTCAACATCTCTTGTTAACAGAATTTTTTAGTTACAAAAAAACGTTCCATGAGAGTTATTGCCAAGACACAATATAGAGCACAATTTTCAAATATTTTGTGTATTAACTGTCTATCAATCATGTCAATTACAATTGGGTGATTTTATGTTTAAATATGTTAACAGGCCTTTATCGCAAAGGTACATGTATATATCGACTGGTACATATCAAATGATTCTATCCGTAAATACAACACCAGAGGCTCACATAAATTACATTCTATATTCTTTGTACCTTTGCCTCAAAGGTACATGTACATATCGACTGGTACATATCAAATGATTCTATCCGTAAATACAACACCAGAAGCTCACATAAATTACATTCTATATTCTTTAAAACTACCCAAAGAAAGACAAGAGTGAGGTACCAGGGGCGGATCTAGCTTTTTGCTAAGGGGGGGGTTGACCAATAATGACGATGCGGAGCATCGTCCACGAGCCGCGAAGCGGCGATCCGATTTTTTGGGGTGTTTATTTGAACCCCGTAAGTGATGTTTTCCTGGCATCTATTAACACAATGGAGACCATAAAAAGCAGTGCATGAACACGTCCGTATTACACCCCCATGTATGGTAATTTACCCTGTATGCCAACTTTTTTGCATGATTCAAACATACCTTCCAGTAAAAAAAGATGCGAGACTGGATTGCCGCAACTTCTTTGCCCTGTTTGCTTCCATATTGCTTGTCACTACACTCAGACCAGACTGATAAAAAAGTGAGCAACTTGAACAAGTAATCCAGGAAATGAGCAGCCCAGCTCAGCGTGCGTTGCCAGGTTAAATCTTCACAAAATCCCTACCCAAACGACACTTAAAATATCCCCAAAGTTGCCAAATTTTGACAGAAAATCCCCAAATTCGTTTTTCATAAAACTCAATATTATTTTCATTCCCAAATATTTATTTTTCATCCCCAAAGACTTCAACAATCCCCCAATTTTTTTTTTTTTTAATGTGGGGATTTTGGGGATGAGAATCGGCAACGCTGGCCTAGCTTGTCACTTCGGCGGTGGCCCGTGTCCTCAAAAAAGCTGATGGGGGGGGGGGGGGCAAGGGACTCTGTGACATTTGTTCGCCCAACCCCCCCCCCCCCCCTCCCCCAAAAAGAAATAATAATAATAATAATAATAATAATAATAATAATAATAATAATAATAATAATAATAATAATAATAATAATAATAATAATAATAATAAATGAAATAAATACATAGAAATAGAATAAAATAAAATTACAAGTTTAAAAAAAAAGATAAGATTTAAAAAAATGGTCCCCGGATTTTTTTTTTTGGGGGGTTGCAACCCCCCCAACCCCCCTCTCTAGATCCGCTTCTGGGTACAGAGGCCAAGTCCTCTGGAATGGTTTAACTGATGACATTAAAAACTCTGTGTCACTCCAAAGTTTTAAAACAAAATTTAAAAAATATTTATTTTAATTATGCAATACTCTTTGTAACTCAGTAATGATAATTTTCCAATGACTGCCCCCCCTTTTGTTTTTATATATATATATGTTTGCAATGTGATATGATTATTTTGGGGATTAACCATGGCAAGGAACTTTGCTTTTGTTTCCCCCTCCCCCTTACTGGTTTTTCATCTTATTTGACCCCTTTGTCATTTACTTGTTTTTTCTTGAAAAAAACAACAACAAAAAACAAAAACACAAGTCAGAAAAGAACCAGCGGGACTTGAGCCTGCATCTACTGACTTTTTTTTCAATACAGATTGATCAAACGATCTTATTTACTGGGTGTAAGCCACAAATATGCTTAAATAATTGAAATTTCTCCCAGGAAGCATTACATTTATACAATTGTTTTTTCTTGTAATGTACATGTTTGTATTCCTTTGTATTTTATAATGTACATCATTTTATATTTGAATGTTTCTTTAACTGGAATGTGGAAAAATAAATGAAATGAAATGAAAAAGATTTAATCCAATATAAGCTTACCTCACCGATGCTGTGGTTTCTCTTGACTCTTACGATGGTCCTACATGGCTTGGTACATTTTTAGAGTTAGATGTAGGTGCTGGTGGTGAAGGTTCTAGGACACAGCTGTCAATCTTGGCAATCTCCTCCACAAGACAGCTCTCATCATACTCGTTGTACATCGCATTGAGGTTGTTCCCCCTGATTTTTGTTGACACAGGTTCAGGGGATTTACACAGCATTGAGGAGTCAACTTTCGGACTGTCATCGGGTCTCTCCGAGTCAGATTGAAACTTTGCCAGGAAATGCCGCTTCTTCGAATACCTCGGAGACTTCAGTTCAGACTTCCCGACACTCATGTCAACTTGACTTGATGGCTCATCTGACGAGGAGGGCGACTGTTGGCTCTTGCTTCGTTTCAACTTCCTCTCTGCGTCGCTCTTCAGCAGCATCTGAAGATCAGAGCCTGACTCTGGGGACATCAGTGTCTTGGAGGCAAGTCTCTGCACCCTGGAGATGTAGAACTTTGGCTCTGAATGATGATACCTTGATGGGGTAGCAGGTTTAAAGGAATTTACAAACCCACTTGGAGTTGGATTGTCATATGGCATCTGAGGAACCACTGAATGTTCTGGAGACACTTTCTGTGATATATTTGTGTCGTTTACATCATTGGAGCTACTGTCTGCTACAGAGAATTCAGTTGTAAGATCTTTACTTGGGACAGGTTTAGTGCACTGGTCACTTTCTGCTGGTCTTTGGTCCCCAGGTGAAGGAATATCCACCAGGCTGAAAGACACATTTTCATCAGCATCATGGGGCATACAAATATCCATAAGTACTAGGTTTTCTTCACTGGTACTGATAGGTTTCCTGACTGGCTCAGGTGGATATTTGAAGTCTGTAGATGGACCTGCTTCAGGATGTTCTTCACGATACCCACTACGATGGTGTGTAGGCAAACGAATCTCTGAAAATCCTCTAGGCAAGTGCTCAACTGGAGTTTCTGGCGTGCTGGGACAAAACTCTGGACACGACCGAACTTCTGGTGAAACTTCTAACTTGATTTGCCCTGCATCTCTGTGATTCCCACATTCAGGTCTAGTGGTGTCTGGTGAAATATCACTTCCTGACCACTGTCTGCTTCTAGGGAAATGTCTGTTTATACGATCTTCTACCCTTCTTGGCTGTTTCTTATCCAACGCTTTCATTGCATCAACTCTATATTCAAGATTGTTTCTTTTTTTCTTGATAATGTCTTTGACGGCCAGCAGCATATCTGAGTTGGCCATTAGACTCAACCAATTCATTACTTTCAATTCAATCGCTGGCTTAACTCTAGGAATACCAGTTGTATTGGGGACAAACTCAGACAACATTGCCTCCTCTTGGTCGGGTGGTATCAACTTTCCAAGAACTTCAGCGTGAATCCGGATGTCTGCCATCAAGATCTCATACTTCCTTCGATGCAGGTACATCTCACGTCTATCAATTGAGATCCTACCAAACACTTCTGACATAATGCACTGTAGAGCGGTCAACGCTGACTTATGAACCTTCAGAAGAGGAGCAACCTGTAATTGAGATGATGCTTTTCTAACCTCTCTTGAGCTGTTCTCCACAGCGTGCATTTTCGCTTTGATTTCCAACAGGGCAACATGGATATCTTCCCAGGAAACAATCGATGTGTACCCAAGGGATGCCATTGATTTGGAAGGCGAGTTCTTAAATTCTTTTGTAAAGTCAATGCAATAGGTTTCCTTTTCCCTCCAAAGACCAGGGAGATGTGCACGTCCTCGTGAGAATCCCCTCCCTCTTCCACTACCAACTGTTTTTTGGTTTCCATAAGGCTTTCCCAAGTTTCCAGGATATATGTATTTCCTGTAATCAAACCTCTGGGAAGGGGTACGAGACCTCATTCCAGAGCCGGGTCTGAATGGCCCACTCTTAGCTGATCTCCAGTCATACCCTTTGTTAAATCGCGAGAATTGTTTGTAATGTTTGAATTTACTCCCTGGTTCACGAACATGCTCTCCTCTGTCACTATCAATATCACTCTCCGAGCCTGATACATACTTCCGTTTGTGTCTAGTTTTCTCTCCATCATTTCTAGTGTGTTTGTATTTTCTGTGCCTTTCAGGACTCCTTTCACTTAGCTTTCTCCTTTGAGGAGTCCGTTTATAATCAGATTCACCTACTTTATCATCGCCATAGTCATATTTCTTAGACTCTGGACTTTTTCTTTTCTTCTTCCCACCCGAGTGACTGCTTGTAGGTGTGGTAGATTCATTTGATGTATCCAACCTCCTTTCGTCTTCACTTCCTTTTCCATTTCTGATGTGATCTAACGAGGCATTCTCTACTAAATCGCAGTTTGTTTGCTCAAGTTGGTCTTTGTGGGTTGCACAAGAAACATGTACTTCTCTAGCAACGTTGTCATGTTGTTCTTTACTTCCACTAGTAACCTGGCTGGAAGCAACCCTTGCTTCACTTACAAATTCTGTAATTGTTTGTTCAATGACATGATCTGGTTTGTCTGTTATCTCACCGAGAGCCTCCTTGGCTTGCCCTTTTTCCTTTCCATCAGACGATGCCTTTCCTTCTTTGTTGCCAACTACTTCCGGATGCACAACTCTCTTTACAAGGCATTCATTTGAATTTTCTTTAGCGAGTGCCTCAGCACAAGATGCATTGTTCAATGTCCCTCTTACTGATTCTTCTTGCTTACAATTCAAATTCTTTGAACAAGGTAAAATATCAGTTGGTTTAGGATGAGGCATTTTGTCTTTTTGCATGTTTTTTCTGGCCTTGCTCCGGGATATTTTCTTGCTTTCTTCCACTTGTGTATGAGGCCACGTTAGTGGTCTGAGTTCTTTAGGATCGCCTGCAGGATCTGGAGTTAAGCTTCTCCTAGGATCAATCCTTCTATGTACAATGTCCTTATCCTCAAGAGGAATGAAATGAGGATCAGTTTTGTTGGTCTTATCCTTGATTAGAGGACGGCCATGAAATTCCTTGGCTTTTTTCTTTGATTTCTTGCTAATGGATTTCTTCTGTTTCTTATCTCTTTTTTCAGGAGACAGTGACTGTCCATGCCTTGATCTGCTGGATGAGTGCCTCTCCCCATCACTGTCAGCTGAATTTTCAAGAGAAGTACCTCTTTGACGCCCAACAGTTCTTGGTATTTCATGAGATACCATTCTCTCTTTCCTAATACCATCTTGTCTTGGATAGTCAGAATGTGGGTCATCGTTGAGCTCAACAACTCGATAGTAGTGAGAACCATGTTCATGCTGTGCAGATGAGTCTGGGTACCTTTCCTGAGCATCATAAGGGTGCCTTTGTACTTTGCTGTGATCTCCTGCCCTTGACTGATTGGTACTGTCTTTCCTCAAGAACTGCTCATCATCATCTCTCAAAACAACAGTAAATTCAACCTTCCTGTTGCTAGGATCGTCATGAACAGAGTCATCACGAAAGTGCTTTGATGAAACTTCATCTGACACATCTCTATATTCTATCTGCCTCTCAGGAACTGTAGATGTCTCGACCTCAGGTCTCACTTCTCCGGTGGATGATTGCACTGGGCCTCCAGTGAGAGCTTGTAAAGCCATTACAAGAGCTGCTCTATGCGCTGGATTAACAGCAGCATTTATTTGAATCTGCAGGGCCTGAACGGCTGTCATTTGTTCCCTTATCATCGGGTTAACTGGAGTTTCTTGAAACTGTCCTCCACTATCTCTCCTTGAAAGTCCAATATCACTTTTTGCATAAATCCGAGAGTCAGGGCTCTGCTCCTCTCTATACCTTTGGATAGGTCTGTCTGGTGCTTCATATCTGTGAACTCTCTCTGCCGGTTGAGGATAGGAGTAAACACTTTCCTCGTTATCCAATCTTTCAATTCTAGGAGGAGGGTGTGTGTAATGAGGATGTGTTTCTTTACATGGATGGCTAGACATAGTCCTGTCTGAGTAATCCTGATCATCTTCATACATCTCCCTTCTTGATATCCTTGGATCATCTTTTGGGTACTCAATGTGATCCATTCTGGTGTCTCTTCCTCTTACAAGCAATGGTTTCAACGCTTCTTGGCTGTACCCATCCTCAAAAGTCCCAAACTCATCATTTTCTATACTGATATCACTAACATTACTGAGTTCACGCATGTAAACAGGTCTGTGTCGATTCTTTGGGCTATCAGGGTATCTGTTGCCGCGCCTGTTGAAGTCCGATTGATGCCTGTGCCTTTCATCTTTCACATGATAATGTGGTTCATTTTCCTTTTCATGACAGGCATTATTGTTTTCCTCCTCATATTTCATTGAGCTAGGACCTCCAATATCAGATGAAGCAAAGTGGTCAGTTCTGCTTTGTGTTTCATAGTTCACTCTCTCTTTCGGACCAAAAGGATCTTGGTTGCTGAACTCATCTTCAACCGGTGTACCTGGTGATTTGGATCGATTCAAAGTGTCCTCAAAGATGCCTCTGTCCTCGAAAATCACGCTGGAGGTCACACAAGTATCAACTACACTATTATTCTTTGACACAACACCCATCTTTTGTTGAGATTCAAGGCTATCATCATTTCCAGAATCTGCTGACTTAATGACTGTAGGGACAGAAACACCATTTCTTCCATCAAGGACAGTCTCTACTTGGAACTGACTTGTCCCGTTGCACATGCTATTTCCTGTCCCACCATCAACTTTTGGAGGGTTAGGTATTTCTATTCTGAGGGTGTTCTGGACAGAGGCATTCTCACTTGTGTGATTGGTACACAGCAAATCTGTATGAACATCTAAGCGAGGTAATGGCACAGTTCTGTCTGGCTGAAATGCATTACCAGACACTTCAGAGATATTCTGTGACACTGGGCTGGCACTAGGAGAAAGTACGGCTTCTTTTGGCACACTCACCAACTGGCTCTTATTGCTGGTTACATCTATTTGAGTTGTATGTTGCACATCAGTTGAGGGGGATGGATGCTTTGTAATTTCTATTACCTGATGGTGAGCAGTTGCTTCATCCTTGCTAATCTCTGCATCTCCACTATTGTTCAAAGTCTGCAAGGTGCTCTGCAATGATGATAGAGCCTCTTTGAATGACTGCTTTGAACCGAAGGCCGACCTCATCGGACTATTAGTGTCTTCATGCAGGTATGTTGTCCAACTAGCAACCTGTGCTTGTTGACCATCAACCTTGCTCTTAACCTCTCCGTCAGTCCATTCTGACGGGGAAATGACCTCACTGTCCTTTCTGCCAGCTGTCTCGGTTTCCTTAAAGTCACTTTTGGCATTCTTTTCTTCATCTGATTTCAGAGTGGGGACCACTGAGCCATTTCCAACACTATTAGCTGGTACCACATCTGCCTCATTAGAGATAGCTTCGATGCTGTTGGGTACATGACGGACAGGGGTTGAAATTTCCATGTCCACTAAATCAAAATTGTCTGCTCCCGAACATGTCGCCATTTCCTTTTCAGAGGCACTAGCACATGCAGTCAATGTACGATGTACAGGTTTACATGGACCCTCCTTATTCTGGATTTCTTTGTTGGCATTTTGCGCATTTTGCTGGATACGTACAGTTATTGGCATATTGTCACTTATGGGATGATTACTTGGGGCTTCCTTTGGCTCACTGTGACCCAAAATGAGAGATTCTTCATGCCCCTCAACTGGCAAAGACTCAGTTATACCGACATTACCTTTAGTTATTAAACTTTTACTTGATGCAGCTGACACTATACTTGGTTGTGTAACAATACTTGGTTGATGGTGTGGCCAAATTTCATTTCCTTGATGGCCATTTGGGGGCATCTCGTACTGGTCAGACATAGGAGTATGCTGTTGAATCTGGGTACCATCAATGCCATAGCCACTCTTGTATGGTGTTTGGACCGGTTGGGCTATATTTGGTTTTGCTTTGCTTGAGCTTGCAACAGACCCATACACATAGCTTATTGGAACTGGAGGCGAGTTGTTTATCTGCACAACAGATTGATGACTAGATACCTGTGCCACCTTTCGGGCTGTTGTGTAAACGCATCCAGAAGAAACCATAGATCCTTGATCTAACTTTGTTTCATCCAGTCCTACACTCACATGAGCACCTTCTGCTAAACTGGTTGAAACGTCATTGAGGGTGCTCATGCTGGCACTGCTTGGAGTTTTATGACCATTTGCACCATTTGAAATATGGACTTGGATAGGGGACCCCTTCTTGAGCTCTTCATCTGTAACAGGCACTTGTTTAGGCTTGTCCAACTCCTTCCGGTCATCTGCAGATAGGGCAGCTGCTTTGGGATTGTGTTCTATTGATAATGGAATGCCCATCAGTGCATTGCCTGTACGAACAGATACTTCAGTCACTTCAGTCACTGCACTCTCCGTCTCTTTGGGATTGTGTTTTATTGATAATGGGATGCCCATTTGCACATTCTGCTCTTTAGAGTCAGATTTCTCTTGATCGTCTTCAGATGATGAAACAACTGTCAAATTAAATTTCCCATTATCCATTGAAGGGGTGATTGAAAATTTCAGAACAATGTTTGGAGTGTTGGGAGTCATAGATACAGTTTTGTTTTTCACATCCTGTTTTGGCTTGGCAACCTTTGTGGATCCTTTGACCTTGCCCTTCACAGGCTTCTTGGTATTTGTACTTTGCTTTACCACAGATTGCTCTGATTTATCCTCTTTCAATGCATTACCTGTACGAACAGATACTTCGGTTACGGATGTCACTGCACTCTCTGTCCCTTTCTCACTTGTCTCAACAGAGTCAACAGACAGATTATTCTTCTGGAGGATACCCTTCAAGGACTTCGGCGTTGTGACCTCTGCACCTGAATCAGCTGCTGAGGTTATATCTTCTGCCTTCTTGGCTTCAGCTATCCTCTGGAGTGCATTATGGCTTGAACTATATGTTTTTACTGGGGGCTTGTTTGGATCAGTACTCTGCAAGGGTTTCCTTTTCATATTCATCTGCACCACCCCAGTGATTTTCTTGGTGACTGCATTTCTTTTTACAACCTGGATTGTCTTGCCTCCATCTAACTTTTTCCCAACAGCCTCCAAACCTGCACCACTGTCTGAACAAAGAGATTCTCCAAAACTCCTCTTCTTTTTGACTGGATTTTTAGATTTGTCTGGGTTCTCAGATTTACTTGCCTTTTCAGATGTGTCCTGATTTTCTGATTTTTCAGGAATTGCTGGTTTACCAGACTGAGGAACTGCTCCAGGTGTCTTGGCAAGGGTGCTGTAGGATCCTTTGCCATACAACAGACGTGGATCTCTTGGTCTTTCAATACTTGATGTAACTCCATTCTGCAGAAGATTTAAGGAACCCTTTGATGGATCGATGTTGGTTTGTTTAGATCCATCTATAAGTGCCTCACTGTTGCTGGGTTTTACTTGTATCGCTCCTTGCAAGGGTACCTCTCCAGATTTCTCACATTTTGATTTCTCCGCATTCGATGGATCAATTCTCTTCTTCTGATCAACCGTAATATCCCCATTGCCGCTCTTCAGTTTCTCATTCTTAGCCTCCTTCCCAGTTGATTTCTGACTGAACAACTTATGGAGGGACGTAGTGGCATATTTCCTGGAGCTCGGCACCTTCGGACGTCTGCTCTTACTCTTTCCGTTGACAGTCACTGCAAGAGAGCTTAACTTCAAGATATTACTCAAGGACAAGCCTGAGGTGGGTTGCTGTTCAAATTCTTCTTCAAGAGAGGACAGTTTCCAGGGGTTCAGTCCTTTAAAACGTTCACTCAGGGTAACTCCTGTCCCCGCCATAGCTTCCTCGTTAACTCATGCCTACAGAAGAAAAACAAGAAGAGTTACTATAGACATTTAATCGCAATTTGGCATATAACAATCGCATTTGTGATCTAGCACCGCAAAACCAAACAAAAAGTTACCAGATAAGATTTTTTGAAGTTTGGGTTTAATCCTAAAAGAGGAATTCCTCAGCTATAAAAAGATGTATAACTCATGGGAATTGGAAGTTTGTGACCCAATGAAAGAAAATGACTAGTGTCCACTCCTAAGAAATGTTACTTCTGAAAAGTGTATTAAACAGTTTTTTTAATTTTCCTGAAAGCATCCTGATTCACAAGATATTGTGCAAGGGGTCTAAAATTGGAAACACATGAATTTGGCACATTATATCAACTATGAGTTTATAATATCCAAATATCAATGCAACATAATACTCTGTTTCAAAATTATGTGAGAGCAAAATGAGACCAGTAACTAATACACACAAAAAAAATGTCAATATACTTTTTTTTCATATTTAGGTGCTTTTGACATGACATCTAAAAAATTATGAAAGTATATTCCTTTAGAAATACACAAAACTAGAATTGACCAAAATGACTTAATACATCTTTAGCCAGTCTTACCATACAACTTTATTCTTTGCTTTGTGCTGGACAGTTACACTTACATGTACATATTCCATTTGATAGGGCAAAAAAGTATGCATGATAAAATATAGATCTATGCAAACAATTAAACAATATCTTTGCCCTTTACCCTTGAGTTGTATCTACACAATATGATCTCCACAATCGTTCACCTATTAAGTACAGAGTTCAGTAAGTATACTAAATCCATACTAGAGCCTGAAACTGCATATGTCCCATACCTTATAGAAAAATCATTGCAAGTTTTGCATGTATCAACTTCTATTGTATGGTGAATGCCCCTCCTTTCCTGAGGCTCGCAGTTACATGCAGGGGCTTGAATGTGATATTGAACTTATAATAATAATAATCTGCATTTATACAGCACTGTACATGTACAGGATACCATCTCTGAGCGCTTTACAGAAATTATTACCCCAGTCGTCAGAATCATTCACGCACAATGTGCATCATCTCCACTCCCTGGGGAGTATTCCTACCACATGGTCACAGTATCAAGTATCACTAATCTGAGAATGAAACCTAAACAGGCTGAATCAGGGATAAATATTGGGAAAGAAGTTAACTCTTTGCTATCATTGGGTGTCTTTTGAAGAAATTCTTCCCAGAATAGTCGAACCCTTTTTCAATTCCTTCTCTTTGTACTTACTTTAAGTTTAATTCAATTTTGTAAACGATGTGATATAGTAGATGTGATACAACATGTATATGTAGAGCTAGTTATTATTATACAGGCAAAATTCCCTTATTAAAAGCGTAAGCACATACTGAAACATACTGCAATGTTTATTCTAGCATCACTTAACTGATATTCTCAGGGTTAGAACTATTTCACAGACTTGAGAGATACACTAAAAACAGACATTTGTCAGTAAACACTGTGATTCTTGTAGCACGTTAGCTTGTAAAGGCATTATACAGCCTACAACCAACTGTGAAATTAGTAATGATGAACAGTAAAGGAACTGCCAAAAAGTAAACTACTCTTTTACCCTGCAACATTTACCATCCATAATACCCTATCAAAATGGCAATGGCGGTCACTGTTGTGCCCTTTTATTTTTTAGGCTGATAGGCCTCTCTGACGAGCCAAATTGCCTTCCCCAAGTTCCATACAACTGCCAACGTGTGAGACTTACATGTAGCTGCTCACAGCAACTTCAAAGTCCATTATCATACCAGTAGTGCATGTACATTGTAGTATCCATAGAATCTCACTGCACTTTAATAATTCATTTTTTTCCCCTTTGTACATGTCAAACATGTAGTCTTGTGGAATGTCTGGATTTACATGTCTACAAATAGAAATCGAAACTGAAAGTAACCCTATTCCTTATAATATGAAACGTATTGTCAATTGAAGGGAAGTTCATGTATCTGTAGCACTGATATGAAATGTTATTCTGCTTTTTTGTCAAATTGCCTTTGGAATGTCTTGGGCGAGAATTTTTTTCACAATGTATATATTTCTATTTCACATAGAATATCATTTTTTGCTTTTGAATATATTTCAAAATAAGGCTACAAATGGCTCTCCATAATTTTAAAGTCCAAATTAGAGTTAAGTTTGACATACATGTACATGTAGGATCTTTGTGAAACACACCCCAGGTAATATAAATTTTCTTTTCACTTGAGGGAGGAAGCTTGTTTTCAGCCTTCCGACTTTATCATTTGTGTAAATACTCTTTGTTGGGACTGTGCAATACAGAACTTAATTTTCTACAGGAAATCAACGGACTGCCTTCTTCCAAGGTTAAATCTACAAGCTTGCTATCCATAGGACCACCTTTCACAAGGACCACTATTCATAAGGACCGCTATCCATAACGCGTGACTATTAAAATGAATAGCGGTCTTTTATAAATAGCGGCCCTTATACAATGTAATAGCGAGCAAACCATAGCCAATTTACCTCTCTATTCATAAGGACGGCCATTTATAAAGACCACTATCCATAACGCGCGACTATTAAAATGAAGAGCGGTCTTTTATAAATAAAAATATTAATTTTCTTTTCACTTGTGGGAGGAGACCTGTTTTTCGGCATTGGTTCTCACTTTATCAATTGTGTAAATACTCTATATTGGGACTTGTGCAATACCCTTAACTTAATTTTCTATGGGAAATCAACGGACTGCCATCTCCCAAGGTTCACTCTACAAGCTGGCTATCGATAAGAACCGCTATTCATAAGAACCATTATTCATGAGGACAGTATCCAAGGACCATTATTCATAAGGACCATTATTCATGAGGACCATTATTCATAACCACTATCCATAACGCGTAACAAAATGAATAGCAATTCTTTATGAATATTGGCCCTTATTAATAGCGAGTAAACCACAGCCAATTTTGCTCGCTTTTCATAAGGACCTGCACTATTCATAAGGTGTGACTATTAAAATGAATAGCGGTCTTTTATAAATAGTGGTCCTTATAAACAGCGAGCATTAACGGGTGGCCTATTCAAAAGTAAGATACACCTGAAGTTATTAAATCTGAACTCATTCCTCACAATGATTTCCACTGAGGTCACATATGTACATGTATATGCACACACTATTTTCCCAGAAAAGCCAATTCATACTTCCTATTGTAACAGTTGGGACCATGCATGCACTACAGAATCACCCAAAAGATTCATGGTGTGATTGTCAGTTAGAGCTCAATAGAGGTGTACTTTTTATTACCGGTAAAGACTGCATGATCCACTTGGGGAGTCAGGGCGCCCAGACAGGCTCAACGCTTCAACCACATATTTTTCCAAGCTAACTTTCTTTGGGACGCAATTTAACCCTGTTTTCAATGGATGAGGAATGTTCAATCACAATGACGGTTACATGCATATATACCATTTTAAAGCTGAGAGTCTATTCTTTCAGAATTAGACGTAAACTAACTAGTCATTTGGGGTGACTTTTTCGTGGTTCTGTGGTCCCAATTATACTTTACAGCATGTTCTGTTTACTTTTCATTTGAGGTTTCACATTTTGCTTATGATACTCTATGATTTACATCTGTTCTGCTGTTCTGCAAAGCATTTACATGAACATTTCAGCTCATGACCTCCATTCCTCTATTATTCTCATTGCCAGAATTACCACGCCTGGTTTCTTCCATTCATTTCCATCCCATTTCCACTTCATAATGATATCTACTTTTAAATTTCCATTCATCTTGAGAACACCTCATGATCACCTTTTCATATGGTCTATTGGTTCTTTATTCTCACTGGGTTCTTTCATTATGCATTATGTTGTGCTTTTCCATTTTTATGTTTGTGAGTTGTGACTGTTTTTTTTATTCATGTCACTTACGTTCTGATTGGTTAAAGGTATGCATGTAGACCAGTTTTGGAAACGCCCCCTTCTCAAAAGAAGAAATGGAAGCTCTTACATGTAATGTGAAAGAATATGTTTTGACTAATACCTGATGATACAAATTTTGCCAGGATACCACCCTAATTGATATTTTGGTAAATTATCATAACAAATATAATGTGGTGGTGGTTATTTTACCTGACTGCTAAGTAAGCATAAATGCTAAGTAAGCATAAATGCTTGTACAGTAAGTAAGCAACCAGACGGCCGACGGCTTTACATGTAGGTCCTCTCTGAGGGACCTGGTAATGAGGATTAATGCCTTACCAAAGATAGATATCGTGAATGCACCTCAACATTCAACATTGAACATTTGGGCATATATTTCTGCTGTTTTGTGAATTTAGGTTGAAGTATTGCCATCTAAACCTCTAAAGGCAATATATTTAAACAATATTGAATGGATATTTCGCACCCAAAACCCTTGAACTGCAATTTTACCACTTTGGGTCTATATCTTTAAAATTAAGTTTACTCATGTAAAGAGCAGTGCAACACAGTGCAGCACATGTTTATCTACTATAGCTAGTTCAAACGTTTATAAGTTGATAGCAGGAGTGCAGTCAGTTGAGCAGAGTCTGAGAAAAGAAAACTATAAGTTTACACTACAAAGCACTGGAAGAAGGAAACATGTAGGAAGGTGTTTATTTCATGTACAGTGTACGTGTACAACTACACGGTAGCCTACACATAATTGGGAAAATTGGGAATCCCCTAACAATGACATCATACGTTTAAAAAAATGTTCTGCTGAGTGCAAGGTACCTACAGGTACATGTATATATGGGTCATTCCATGAACTTGGGGGCAGTTTTTGTGACATACCAGAAGTGAGAAACTATGTCTCCTTTCAACTGTAACAATGTTTGCTCAAATTAAGTTTTGCATAAAAAGCATAGCCAACTATCTTCAGAAGTAGTCAAGCTTCATGGTGAATCAATATTATGGACCCAAAGTTTGTGTAATGTTACATGTACATGTATATGAATATGGTGCCTATGTACAGTGTAACACTGGTAAAAGAGAAATGTGTATTAAGCAAAGATTTTGAAGAAAAGCAACTGAAACAGGAACAATTCTTGCAGGGCACTACTACCAGTATATTCAATGCATACAAATATTCAACAGATTATTTCATATTCCATGTGTAGTAGAAGATCTCAGACCAACGTTACATGGACACCATCATATTTTTGCCCCAACTTTATGGAATGACCCATACATTCTACAAAAATGTACAATCTCTATACATGTATTCTAGAAAACTAACAATGCAAAAACAATTCTCGCTACCCTAAATAGGTACGAAAATCTCGAAATTCGCGAGACGAGGTAATTTTCACTCTCTCGGGTCGTCACTACAACTTCCGGTATAGAGTCCCATCCCGCTGGCGCTAGCGCCTGTGTTCGCTGTGCAGAGTTTTCACGCACGCTAAAATCGATGCCAATCAGTGTAATTTGTACAGATTATAATATGCAATGGAAAGCTTCGGGCAGAATTAGTGACTTTAGCACAAAAGGCCGTTAAACTCTACCGTGAAAGAGAGGGTTGTGATCACGAACGCCTGCACAGGAAGCTGTAATGTCGAAAAGCTATCCCATAATGCAATGCGCGTTTTCAGGATTTTCCCCGGATCTCGGCAGAATCGCTATTGGGGTAGCGAGAATTAATTACTAATTTGTAAAGATGAGTTCACACAATTTTTTATTTGATTAAAAGAAAATCACTAACCTACAAATTTACAGCAAGTGAATTTGTAATTCTTGCAAGGAAAACTTCTATTTGTAGGAAGATGCAACATGTTTTCTTTCCTTTAGAAAATAGGTTGACATTTTAAATTTTAATTAAAATGATCTATTTCAGTAAAAATAGAATTACTGGCTTCAGTGTGACTACCGGTAGGATAGCAATAAATTACCTAAGAACTTTCCAACATGAAATTGGGGTTCTGAAATCTCGATCTCAGTGTTAAATTTGGCTTAAATATCTTTTATCAAAACAACCTTTAGAGCCTATTTAACTTTTTCTACTTCAGGACATCATAAGCAGCTAACTTTCATCCAAAGATAGATTAGACCATTCATATATGAGACTGGGTTGGCTGCCCACAACACAGCAGGGTTCAAGGCGCTATGATATTTGTTTTCCCTCTAATATTATACACTATAATTATACCTTTAGGTGATACCGGTAGTCAAAGGAAACAACATGAATTTCCAAATCACACAGTATGTTCAAAACACTTCAATTAATACACAGTTTTTGTAAGCACAATCCCCCATAGATCATAGATGTAGATGTACTACCTACTACAGTAAATTGTACATGTACACTATACAGTACATCCTACCCTCTTTGCAAAATCATTTGAATAAAGCAATTCACCACAAACCACATGCACACACAAACACAATACAAAGTCATTAATATATAATGGTAATACGTGTACTACCTGTAGCTAGCATAGCAGTCAGCTGACTACAATAAGTTGACTTCGCGTCCTTTTCTCTTTCTCAAAATCTACATTATACTCTCTGTACTCTCTAAATATCTACATCATAATCTAACTTACGAAAAGGTGAATATTCCAAATCCAAAGCTCTAAATCTTGTGTGGATACAAACGAAGACCAGCGAGGAAGTTGTATCACAGATAAGAAAAATGGGAATGGTACAGCCATGCCACCATGCTGCAATGAACTTTGCTACTCGGTGGCGAAGGACTCTGCATGTGACGGAGCACACACAGAGCACAACAGCAATTAAAGGGCAGGTCCGCCCAGTCCAATTCCTGCTGCACGCACACATAATTGTGGGGCATCCCCTCTGACATCATTTCTCTAGTCTCGTGTTTTCAGACCGTGTTAATGAAATGCAGAAGTGTATGGGTTGTCTTCATGATTGGTTACTTGGAACTCAAACATACTTACTATGTGTAAGAACAATAATAATAATAGTGATATTCCACTTTTATACATATATACATAATGTCTCTAAGCGCTTTACAGTCATTACCCTGGTCATCGAATTCAGGCTTGCCGCCTTGCCCGCACACAATGTACATGTAATAATATATAATAATCTGTTTTTTATATAGCGCTCAATACACCGATCCAACGATGTGCCTAAGCGCTTTAAAGATATATTATTACCCCGGTCATCGGATTCAGGCTTACCCGCACACAATGTGTGCACATTTTCCACTCCCTGGGGAGCATTCCAGCTAGTCGCCATTTTACAAGCGCACACTTGCTCGTCCAACCACATGAACGTTCACATCCTACCGGGTACCCATTTAACACCTTGGTGGAGAGTAGCAAGTGCAGGTAAATATCTTGCCAAAGGATATTAGTGCTGTGTCGGGATTCGAACCCTCGACATTCGCATCTACAGTCAAGCGCCTTAAACCACTCGACCACGAGTGCACATTCTCTACTCCCGCATTCCAGCCAGGTGTCCTTTTACAGATGCTCACTATAGCAGGCTTTAAATTTCAATATTTTTAGGGCAAGGCCACTTTCCTATATTACAGCACAAATAGGAAGAATTGGAAAGGGCACAAAAAATCTCCAAGGCCAATGAGAGGGGCATTGAGGCCAATCAAAGGGACCCTCCACGGCCATGGCCTTGGTGGCCTTGTATTAATTTAAGCCCTGCTATAGTGTAATATGTCTTTTTAAAGAATTAGCCCTTTAGAGTTGGGATTGGAGTTGCAAGAAGAGTTAGTCTTTGTAGCACTGGTGAAGAAAAATATCATTCATAATGAATAAAACCATTATTATCTTTAGAAAAAGAAAAAAAATGAGCAATCTATGGTCAATAAAACAAACAAAATTTGCCAATGCCAACCTACAGAACATGTTATCTAGGGTGCCTGACTGACAATACATATTAAATGGTTGAACAAGGCTCGAGAGAAGTGTCTGAATTTTTTAGATGTGGTGAGACTAATTCAATAAATGGGCGAGTGCACAAGTATGATAGTATCACAATGACCAACTCATATCATAATAAACTTTGGGGGTGTGTTCGCGTACCCCTGGCTTTCATACCAGCAAAGCTAGAAAGAAAAGGCCATTGTCAAGATTATATCAAAAATTCCATATCAATTGTTAGGGACTTTCAGACACGGTTTGCATCTACTGGTGCGTATATCGTGGTTTGGGGCACATATATTTCTGTTTGTTTGCAAATCTATTGCGTTTCTATTGCCTCGAGAAAAAACAAATATAAAATTATTTTAAAAACATAACTGGTGGATAACAGATTTAGGTCATAAATGAACTTGTGGTAAAGTTGATAAATGAAGAAGAGAAGAGGAAAACACTTTAATTTAAAGGTCACTTTGAAAATCAGATCCAAAGCAAGGAATCAAAAAGACAAGTAAAAGACTAGTAGCCAAATTCTTGTGACAAAATTGTATTCCATTATCTTGCTCATTTGTTTGTCTTATGATTGGCAGTATATGGAATCATTGAATTTTCAGGGCTTGCACAACCTGGTTCAATTGTTAAGCAAATATTTTCTCATATCATGTGATGATGGCTTGCTAGTTTAATAGTTTGCTTATTAACAAATATGGAAGGCTATATAACAAAAATCCTTTATCTGCTCATATCATATATAAATATAAGTTACATTTGATCAGCGGCCCATTGCAAAGTCCATTCCCACTTTTTCATAACTTATTTAATACAAATCTGATAACGGAATTGAGAGCAAAGAAAAGAGGAGATGGAGAGATAGAGGGAGTAAAAGAGAGTGAGGGGGGGGGGGGAGATAGAAACAGAGAGAAAATGGAAAGATAGAGACAGAGAATGAACAGGTTATAAAGCAAATATAAGCCTACTTATTAAATTGTTCAAGTAGGCTACTGAATGCTATTTTATAAACGTCAGCTACATACATGTACATGTACATGTATCTAAGGGGGGAAAGGTAATCAAAGGCAAACAAGGTCCCACTGCAGGTCCACTTTACACTGGAGGTCAATACGCATTGGCACTGACTCTCTGCTTTGCTGGAGTGGTTGCCATAGGGGGCAGTTGTCTGGAGGTAATTGTCCAGGAGGGGGGGGGGGGGGGTAGTTGTCCTAGAGGGTGGTTGTCCTAGGGGGTAGTTGTCCGGGGGGGGGGGGTAATTGTCCTGGGGGTAGTCATCCTAGAGGGTGGTTGTCCTAGGGAGCAGTTGTCCTAGGGCCAGAGCAGTTTTCATAGAAGGCAGTTGTCCTAGAGGGTGGTTGCCCTAGGAGGTACATGTATTTGTCCTAGGGGGTAACTCACTAACTGTCCTAGGTGGGGTGGGTGGTAGTTGGCATTGACTCTATGCTTTGCTGGAGTGGTTGCCCTAGGGGGTAGTTGTCCTAGGGGGCAGGCGCGCCGGAAGCAGTTTGGGATGGGGGGGGGGCAAACATTTCAGGGGGCTCACCTTCCAGGGGCACTGACGTAATGAGAAAAAACATTTGAAAGGGGGGGGGGGGGGAGAAGGAAAATCTGCATCACCACCACCAGCGCTCAAAATACACGGGAGCGGTGGGCGTTTCGCCCCCGTGAGCTACATAATCGCCCCGTCAGGTTGCTCACGGGGGCGATTGCAAAATTAAAAATCGCCCCCGTGGAATCATAAAATAAAGATTATCTTTTCTGTTATAACTTTAACACAATATTGAGTTTCAATTTTCAAACCTTAAACCAATGAAATGGAACTTAGATTAGCGTGCAAGATTTCTCGTTTTATGAGTAGGCCTAGTTATTACCGATTCAGCTCGCAGTGCAGTGCTGCCGTCATCAGTGGTTATAGGCCTACTGCGCCGTTAGTAGCGGTACGTGTGCAGTGTGCACGCTGCCGCGCCATGTCTGCTGGAGCTGGAGGCGACCGCGCAAGGGCAGAAACATGGTCATGGAGAAGTTTTTCGTTGTGAAAGCGTTAACCCGCTGAAATCTGGTGATTTCAAATGACCAGCAAATAATGAAACTCGACCAGTAAATCAATATTAGGGACTTTCAGATTTGCACGATGAGAACATGGGCAGATCTAGGGGGGGTTAGGGGGTTTAACCCCCTCCTCCCCTTGGGCTGCCAAGTGAAAATGTGACATTAAAGCGGGGGGGGGGGGGGGGGGGAGAGAGATGCTGGAGAGGAGGACTACTAATTATTTTATTTTTTTCAGGGAGGGGGGGGGAAGTGAAGCGCCGTTTTAGCATGACTTTCTTTTTAACTCTTACTTTCACCTATCTCAGATAACCCTAAGTTTTTGGTTGCTGCTTTATATGTAGTTGATAATGCATGATTAAAATAAAGAGAGAGAGAACCACCATCATTTTGCAATGGTTCAGGGTTCGTGTAATGTACATTTGAAACCATTTCTTAGCGTCTCAACCCTAAAAAAAATAGCAATACTATTTTTAAGGAAAAGCATTATACTGAATTAAATAAAGATTAATAGCTTTATATTGGATCATACTAATACTGATACGGGCTAAAGACAATGTGGTATTTTTATAGAGGTATTTGAAAATGACATTCTGATAATCAACATTTGTTCTGGTATCATATGTATATACGCATAATACAACTGATCTTTATGATTTCTTAACGTGACATAGCTTCTTCTCCCCCTGCAAACAAAAAAGAAAACAAGGTTATTTAATAAAAGGATCATGTGACAAATAATCATTGTGATTCAAATTGATGCAAGGATTTTTTTTTAATAAGCAATGCTTTTCACCAGAATCTTCTTTGTAAAAAACAACTTTTACAAATCTCAGCCATGCAAATCTGCCACTGTGTTGTAAGATCACTTTCAGATTAGGAGAAGTGTATTCTATAATGAGTATTTTACATTGAATGGAACGTCACAACTCAGAAAGCATGGATGAGATTTGTAAAAGTTGTTTTTACAAAGAAGATTCGGGTGAATAGCAGTGCTTATTCAAACAAATATTCGCATCAATTTGAATCACAATCATTATTTGTCGCTTAATCCCTTTTAATGACCTTGTTTTCTTTCTCGTTTGCAAGGGGAGAAGAAGATATGTCACATTAAAGACATCATAAAGATCAGTGTTGTATGCGTATATATTATATACACAGGCCAGTAACAGCTATGTAGCTTGTAAATTTGTAAGAGGGAAAATGCTGATTGAAATGATAATGATGAAATAGCAAATAATTGAGGAGTATCGTAGGTACCAATTCAATGGATGTTTGTATAAAAAAGAGCCCCCGTCAGTACTAAAAGAGCCCCTGTGAGAAGGCTCACAGGGGGCTCTTTTTGGGGGGGAAGAGCCCCCGTGGACAAAAAATTCATTTGAGCCCTGACCACCACTCTTACACGTAACACGCAGGCCCCTCGGAACGTTTTTCAAAGTGGAGTATTAACGATAAGTAGAGCGTAAATTGGCGTGGGGTCCAGGGCCTGAGTCCCCGGAAGCTCAGGATTATTAGGCATTAAATTACAGTCATATAAGCATACTTACATGTAGATACCTTATTTGTGACACTGGCAGGTCACTAATTGGTGGGGAGTCCCGTAAGCTCTGGAGTTTAAGGCATTTAATTACGGCCAGATGAGCATATTTTGATACCTCATTTGTGACATTGGCAGGTCCCTTATTTGTTTTCTCTCTCTTTCTTTCTTTTTCTCTGTGACAGACTTTTTCAAAAAGTGACGGGGGGGGGGGGGGGGGGGCAGCAGTTCTGCAGGCCCTGACATGAAGGCTTCTAAATAAGCATATTTTTCGCCAGACTGTAAATTTGGGAATTTCTAATTTTCCAACAAACGCAAAAAATAATTGCAAAATAATTGAGAAAAAATACCGGAAAATCATGTCATTTCAACAGCATTTGTAAATCACTGGTATCCAATAAGAAAAAACATCCCCCCCCCCCCCCCCCCCCCCCGTCAACATGTCTTCTCACCCCTGTAGCAAAAAAAAAAAACACGCTTTCTCATCCTCTCACAATGTTTCCATGATAAGCGTGTATCGCTTTTATAAAATCTTCATTGATTAGTATAGGTGGCATGCAGAATTTTAGGAAATTTGATTCCTGTTAACTTCCCTTTCCTTTGAATGGAATTTTATGTGATTTAATTCAGGTTTTTATTATTGTTATGTTCTTTGGGGTTAAAAATACGAACCATCTTTACTCCATTACTGTTTTTTTTTTTTTTTTGAAAGGGGGGGGGGGGGCATTTGGCTTTTTTTTGGGGGGGGGGAAATGCGTTTTGCCCCCCCCCCCCCCCCCCCACTTCTGGCGCCTATGCTAGGGGGTAGTTGTCTGGGGGTAATTGTCCAGGGGTGGTTGTCCAGGGGGTAGGTGTCCTAGGAGGCAGTTGTCCTAGAGGTGGTCGTGCCAGTAGAGGGTGGTTGCCCTAGGAGGTACTGTAGTTGTCCTAGGTGGTAACTCACTAACTCAGAGACGCCAAGTTCAAAGATCGGCAACGCGTGACACTTGATACATGTACATGTAGCTCTGCTAACTGTCCTAGGGCAGGGGGGTAGTTGGCATTGACTCTATGATTTGCTGGAGTGGTTGCCTTAGGGGGTAGTTGTCTTGGGGTAGTTGTACGAGGGGGGGGGGGGGGGGGTAGTTATCCTAGAGGCTAGAGGGTGGTTTTCCTAGGAGTAGTTGTCCGGGAGGTAATTGTCCCGGGGTTGTCCCGGGGGTGGTTGTCCCGGGGGTAGGTGTCCTAGAGGGTGGTTGTCCTAGGAGTTATCTGGGGGGTAATCGTCCTGGTGGTAGTCGTCCTAGTAGAGGGTGGTTGCCCTATGAGGTAGGTGTCCTAGGGGGTAACTCACTAACTGTATGGCTGGGGGGTAGTTGTCCTAGAGAGTAGAGGTGGTTATCCAGAGGGTGTTTGTCAATCAGTGATTAGTCCAGGGGGTAGGTGTCCTAGAACCGTCGTCTGCACAGTTTTTCCTACACAAAAAGTATACTAATGAGTAATATGCCTCTTTGAGTGGATGACACAATACACAACTCACAGTTAAGCTCATCACTTTCATCCAGGTCCGTGACTTCGTGCCAACACGCGTTGCATTGATTTACCCGCCAGCAGCACTTAGGTTCTTGGCACGATCTCCCCGCCGCCAGCTCGGGCATAAATTATGCAAGACTCTTGTTAAACTTTTCACTCTGTCAACGCCAATTCAATCGGCTAAGTTGATGTTGTAAAAACACACATTTAATAACACATGGAAATCAGAGGACGGAGCTTTTCGACTGAATGTATTGAATACTAAGAATCTACTTACCTCAGTGCCAGACAAGCTTCGTTCGATTCACATGTTGTTTATTGGACCGTAAACACTGCGCAAGTATGATGAATAATGTGGTGTACGGCAATGCAATATGATACATGTACACCAAACTTGAAACCATGCACGATGGCGCGGCTTTGGTGTGTGGTATGGCGCGACTTTGGTCTCTCGCCAATTTTTTTTTTTTTTTAGAGAACGATTTACGAATAATGATTTCCTACATTTTCTTAGAAAATGAAACTAACATTCCTCCCTCCCCTGTGTTCACATTCTGTTTTGTGATGTCAATAGCAACTTCTTGGGCTTATATTTTACCTGCAGCGTGATGTGCAGGTTAGAGTGGTGAGAGGAGATAATTGATATATCGCTCGATCGAAAACACTCTTCAAAGATTTTCAGTGAACGCGGGGACAAAATAAACTAGAGGTGCGGGTCCGTGCACAATAAAATATACATATACATTTATAAGATAACACATACCATAACATACAAATATTACAAAACAAAGAACATAAGTAGACCTAGGCCCCTAGGCCTATCGGAAGCAAAAAGAGAATGTTCAAACCAACTATGAAGTTGAACTAGGTATCCGCACCCCTCCCCCCCCCCCCCCCTATTAGCAATTTCTTTCCAACGGTTAAATTTTGTTGTATCCTTATATAAATAAATATTTAAGCGTACGAAATATATAAATAGTTATAATATTGTAAAACTCGAACATTAAAATGCGCTTTATAATTTACTCTTTACTTTAGCCTATATTTCACTTGATTTGAATACAGAGAAAATTGTTTAGTTATAATATTTAAGCGTATAAAATGTATGTGTGTCAGTTTCACTTTAAAATGCAAAATATTCCAACTCTAAAGGGACTAGGGGTATCCTCTCCCGGCCTAAATCTGTCCCCTCAAATTTCATTGCCGGGTACCGTGAGTGTATTTTAGTTATATTAAATAATTGAAATATATGTTGAAATAACGTCAACTTCATGTAAACAACCATAAACCCTGAAATGCCAAAATGAATTATAAAAAACGTGTTTTTTATGAGGTGTAGTCAGCATTGATTTTTTTTGCTCCCAAAAATATTGAAAATCGCGCCGGCCGAAACTTCGCTCAGTGGGGGGAGGGGGGGGGGGGGGGGTAGTGAGCATTATTTTATTTTGTTTGCCCTCGAAAATTTGAAAAATTGCACCCCCCCCCCCTCCTTAAGCGCCAGGGGGGGGGCATCTAAAAAAAGGTAAAATTAACGTTAAAACATGTACAAATATACATTTTTTTTCTCAGGGGGGGGGGAGCTATTATATAGGCCACCGTTACGCCACTGCATAATCCTCTCGATCCTTCAATCATTCATTATTGTTTTTGATAGGCTCAATCTTTTTCCTCAAGCAGTAATTTTGTATTTCTTTTATCTATCACCTTTTTCCGGGCCTTTTTCTCAGTTGCAGGCATTTTTATGTAGACCGAGTGTATTCCGAGCCGTGTAGTCCGTATCCTCTGCCCCCCCCCTCCCCCACGACCATAACTCTGTTATTATTGTACCCCTTTTCTTTCGACTTGTTACTCCTTTCGTTTATAATTAGTGCCCCTTTTCCATTATCATAGTGCCCCTTTTCATCTCTGATGATCACGCTTTTCACTTTGACACGTGCTTCTTTTATTTTCTTATAAATAACCTTTTCACTAATTCTTATATGTGTCCCCAGTTTTCTTTCCAAAGAACGTGTGCCCCTAATTTTAAGCAATTAAGAGCAACTTTTCCTCGAGTTACTAAATAAGTGGCAAGCATTCTTACCAAAGTAGGCCTGGCTGCATGTTTACAGATCTCTCAATTTCTTTTCCCCTTTTCCTATACTCTAGCTGGCAGGTACTTGATAACAGAGTTTTACCGCGCAATCCAGAGTTATCTATAACGTGTATAATGATGTGTGTACAGTCATGTAGGCCTGATATAAGAAGCCACACATAAAACAAGAGGGTCACGTTAGTTTGGACACTATGGGGCGTTGCAAAAAAGTTGAGTTGTAATCGATTGCAAATATCAATTGCAAATTTGCAATTAATCGCAAGACTTACGCTTGATTTGGGGGATTTGCGATCAATTGCAACTTTCTTGCAACACCCCCACTAGACTTACACTAACTTGACCGAAGGGTCGTTATGTATTACGCGATGTGGTTGGAAAAAACCCGAAATCAACAAAGCTTGCATAATAGTCTTATACATCAATGTGATCTTATAACCTTCCCCCAAAAAAAATCATGCCAAGCTGAAATGCTAATGAACTACCTCCATAAATGTGAACTACACAGATGTGATCGGAAGAGGGGGCTCTACATTTTGCTTTGACATAAGAGGGAGAATCATTCTTCTTTGAAGTCGGCGGATAATTATAGAACATAATTTACAAGCATCGTTAAAATACCTTTTATGTTCCAAGTTTATTTTTGCAACACATTAACATATTATTTGCCACTATGGACCTAGGTGAGAGAAACATGGCTACGACTCGGAAAGAGACATGAGATAGTATTGGCTTTTGTCTGTCAAATATCCTTTACTGACTTTGAAGAGAACCTTTATTTTCACATTATGCTGCTCTTCGGAGAAAATTGCTGCTCAGCAACGTGCTGTTTCCCTTTAATAAATCAAGCCTTGTGTTAATCAAAATACAACCATAGCCCAGTATACAGGCAAGGATTTCAGTAAAACCAAGCGACTTTGGTTTCCTTTCCTGCTCGCGTATGACCGGATATACGTGGTAGAAAAGCGGAAATCTCTATGTTAATTCAGGTTTAGAAAAGGAAAAATCAGATGAACTTTTGTGATCGTATAATAGACAAAGCAGCACACTTCTTTTACTATATGGCTATCATGTCAGAATATGGATAAATATGGCAAAATTATTTTTTTAAAAGGTCTGTTAAAAATAGAATGAGATACTATATCATGATAATATATTGACATCATTAAAGAGTTATCATTGCATTACTTTATTGTTTTTATTTTCCCTCCTCCTCGATGTGACTGTTTAAAAGCGTATAGGAAAAAGCTTTGTAATGATGCTTGACATATTTTTTCTCGAGTTAAGAGAAAGAAGTGAGGAGGTATTCATATCATTTGGACCTACCATTAGAAATAAAATGTACGGATCAGGTTGGTCTAAACCAAACCATAACTAAGGACATAAGATATGCCCTCCATATCTTTATGCCCTACATATCTTTTACCAAACAAAATATCTCTTTCATTATTTTGTATGATTGTGTTCAGAGTCAATGAAATAGATACTTGGGGATAAAACATCATTCAAAACCAAGTACCAAATATGACCTCAATATAACTTTTTGAATTTTTTTCATGGGTAATCTATGCTTAAAGTAAATGAAATAGATACTTGGTTTCATTGAATACAAATAAATAAACGGAGATGCGCCCCATTTCGTGTTGACTTAAACAAAACCCACACACTTAGAAACCGATTCGGCGATTTGCCCCCTCTTTAGTTACCTGCACAGTACTTTACTTTGTCATAGGGTTCGTAAACTGTATAGCGCAGCTACTACTGCGCTTTATAAAGAATCAAATGATTCCCCTGGCTTTAGGAGATCTTAATTGATGAGATCCAATCACTTAACATACAGTACATTGCATTGAATATAGATCGGTTTTACCGGGTTACCATTTACTTCACCTATAGAGAGAATTAAATAGGGATTAATTTCTTGCGAATAAACTTTATTGCCGTGAAAGGGATTCGAACCTCATACCGTGTGATGCACAGTCTGTTGACTTAGTCACAGGAATTATCAATGGCAGCTGTATACAGTCATTTCTTTTAAGGACAATTCTTGCATTATGATAATACAAATAATACAAATAATACAAATGATATGAATAATAATCAGAAGAAGAAGGAAAAATAATCTAGAAGAAGAAGAAGAATATGATATGAGGTTGATGATGATGATGATGATGGTGGTGGTGATTATTATTATTATCATTATTAGTAACATTACTATGATCCGTTTTATTGTTTTGGCATTATTCAAACAGGCTAGCCATATTTGTATCAATATTCTTCTCTCAGAAAATTGCCAGACACCTATTTAATACACCTTAAAGGTACTATGTCCCTATTGCAGCCAACCTCAAATTCTGTAGAATGTTGCAGGAATTATGAATATGTCATCTGTGAAATTTAAACGTTATCAGTGTCCTAATATTCAAATTATGCAAGGAAACCCGTTTACTTGCTAGACTTCACTGTCAGACACTATTGAGTGACTGACTGGCTTTTTTTCTTCTTTGGTAATAACATACATAAAATGAGCATTTGTCTACATCAATAACCCTCTTTTGTGATGGCCAAAATTAATCTGATTGAATCTTTGCGCAGTATAAAACGTATGAACATTCGGTACAATGGTCTGAAAATCAAGACTATTACTTATTGGCTCTATACCTCCTAAGTCGATTCGACTAATAGTCGTTATTTTCCCACTTGAAGACATTTTCAAGCCCCACCTTTTTTAGGGAAGTTCTAAATTAGAATTATCTTTCAAATGCCGTTCGAATTTAACCTTTTCATTTGTTTGGCCTGCAAATGGTACATAGTACCTTTAATAGCGAAAAGTTATAATTTGGGGAATAATTTTACAACTTTGTCTTCAAATTGGAGCGAATTGGTTATATCTCAACACCTTTGGTCGAATCTGTGTAATAATTATGAGAGGACTTTGTTTCATATCATCATCTTATTCCATAATCGAGAAAAAAAAACTATTATATCACCCAGCTTTAAAGGTAAAGACCAGTTTTGGAAACGCCCCCCTCTCAACAACAAAAAAATGAAATGGAAGCTCTTATTACCAATCATGTGAGAGAAATGTTTTAACTAATACGTGATGATACAAATTTTGCCGGGAAACCACCTACTAATTGATATATTGGGTAAATTATTATATCTATTTGGAGCTGATAGATAAAGCGCAAGTGTCGCGCACGTGTCTGTAGTCCCATATATATCTTGCTGTGTACAGTGCTTGTAACTTTACCAAGACTGGGCCAAATTTCTTATCATTTTTGATGATTCCAGAACCTTGCAGTACACACCAATACTTATATACTAGATGATCAATCTTTTCTGATCGATGCCACAACGTTTCTTTCACAATGAAATCGCATGACCAGAACTGTTCTTTAACTTTAAAGATAAACTCCAGTACTGGTAAAAAAAAAATAAAAAAAAAAAAAAATTCTCACAGAATCAAACGAAACTTTGAATGTTCAAGATTACAAATAAATGACATGTGCCAAACAATTTTGGAAGAAAATGTATACTGGCTGAGTAATGAGCATAGAAAGACAAGGAAATCAAGGTAGTACTAGCCCCGACACCATGTGTGTTGTCCCATATATAGCTTTCTATGTGAGTGCTTGTTACTTTACCAAGCTCGGTCAAATTTATTATGATTTTGATGACTCCAGAACCTTGCAGTGCACACCAATACTTACATGCTACATCATCAACTGTTTCTTGATATTGATATTATTATGAACTGTAAATGTTTACCAAAATATGTGACTTATTATAGAGGGAAAATACCTGATTTTTATTGTGACTTACTTTGTACATGGTTTACTGTAAAGCAAGTTAATTATGTAAAAGATATACACCACACCTATGGAAGTGTTACAAAAGAAATGATTTGGTTAAATTGTGATATCAAATTTAAAGGAAAAGCATTGTTGTATAAAAATTGGGGATATAGTGATAGGAAATAGATTTTTGACAGTCAAAGAATTGAAAGATAAACTTATCTATTATGATGGTAGATGGTTGAGTGAATATGCAAAAATAAGAACCGCAATACAACAAAGATGGAGGCGAATCATAAAATATGGCGAACAAGTTTATGATTTCAACGATTACAAACGTAAATCAGTTATATACTCAAATTTGAATTTAAATTGTTTTGAATTTTCAATACACTCTATTACTGTGAAAAAAGTATATACGGAACTCATAAAATTATTCCAAAAACCATCTAGGGCGGTAGACTTCTGGAACAAAACCTTACAAACAAATGTTACTATAAAGTGGGACTCTTTATGGTTATTTAAATTGAAATATGCTCGTGATAATTATTTGATACAATTCAACTTTAAATTTATGTATAATATTTTACCAACACCTGTTAATTTATTCAAATGGAAAATCAAAGAAAACAATTTGTGTTACTACTGTAATAAACCTGGTACTATTATACATGTATTTTTTGAATGCGAAAATATTTACCGATTTTGGAACGTTATCGAAATATTATTATGTAACTCCTTCTGTAAAGATTTTAAATTCTCACCCATTTATGTTGTATATGGTTTTCATGACGCAAAAGAAAATGTTATAGATATTGACCTAATACTTCATTATGCTTTATTTGCAATCTATAAAGCGAGTGTTGGAAGTCAATTTAATAAAAATGTAGTGACGAGAATAATAAGCAAATATTTTTTGTTTATGTTAGAATACAAAATAGAAGTTGAGGAAAACAGAACTAAAACAACGAATCTGAATATTATTAAGTGGAAGGAAACTATAACTAATTTAAAATCTGCTATTAAGTAAATAGAAATATAATTTGATTTGACCTCATTTAGACATGTGATTCAGTGATTTGTTATGAATATTTATGTACTATGATGTTATCCATGATTTTACCTGAATAAAGATTTATTTCAACAAAAAAAAAATCAAAAAAAAAAATCAACTGTTTCTGATCCTTTCACACCTTTTCTTTCACAATGCAATCGCATTACCAGTACTAAAGTTTCTCTTTAATGTCGAGTGTTCCATCATCTCATCGAAAGCAATATTTGCCGACTTATCAAATGTTTGCTGATATCTCATTGCATATTGACATTTCTCGGGCGCTGGTGTTGGTAATGTGGAACAAATTGAATTGTCTCTTGCCTAGTGGCTCCCTGTAGTAAAATCCCATTAGAAGATGTGCGATAGACTGTATCCTCCAGTGTGTCCATACGAGGTTTTAAGTCTGATTCAGTCAGGGAAAAAAATTATTTTGCAGAGTTTACTTTCTACACGAAGTTTACTTCTCAAACTAGCAGCATGAAGAACACAAGAGGGGTGAATATACATCCTCTTCGAGAACGAAATACCTAAACCTCGGACAACCATTCCAGATTACCATCGAGGACAATAGCCCATTTATACAACTACCACCTCTCCCCCATATGAGTCTTCAAAGTAATTTCCTGGATTTCTCTCCTTGATTGGGTCGAGTCAAAGAAGAAAATGGAAGGAAAAGAAGAACACCATGTCAATCTACCATAACGTTCTGATCGAATCAAAGTTCGCATGGACGCACTACTGATCAGATTTAAAAGTCCTCATTATCTATTTTAAGTTGAAAATAACTTGAGCTCAATGAAAACGCCCAAATTTCTGCGTTTAGTGGAAAGAA